CAAGAGCCGTGGAAACTGGAAACGGCTGTTCGGTCGGTGTCGTGAGAACGGCAATTAGAATGTCGAGGATATGAGCTGGACAATTCCGGACGTCGGTTATACGACCGAATATGAGAACGATCGTACCCTGGATTGGATTGTCCATGGCTCGACGGGATATCACTGGACGTTGGTTTACAACCGATCGCGCACGGTAACGACTGTGCTATGGACCAGTGCTGCCAGAAATGAGCCCCTGCACGCTCGGCACGATCACGCACACAAAGAAAGGAGTGTACGTGTGGCACTCGGCGCTCGGCTACCTTCGGGTAGTAGAGGAGACTACCGAATTGTAGCCGACTTCCATGCAGTTGATCCTGGATAACACTAAGTGCATGAAATTTCGAAATTTGAACGGCCGCCATTTTTAATGGGGGGGGGGGTCGTAGCGACTTAAAAATTTTAAGGGTGTGTTTATTATGAAAAGACCTTTGAAATGAGCCCCCATTCGACCCCTAGTCCAATTTAAAATTTTCAACCCCCCTCTTACCCCCGCGTATCAGAAGGTGGGGGATGATCGATATCCATGTCATAGGGTAGCTTTTTTGAAATATCAAAATACGTGTTTTACCGTTTTTTGATATTTTCATTTTTACAAAAGTTATTTAGAGGTTTCCACACTTTTGACAAACCCTGTATACTCGGTTGAATACCCCCACGCGCTACTCTCACACGGTCATGCGTGTTGAAGTGGGATAGGCCGCGATCCTCAATTGACGGCTCTTAATCCGCGGCTTGGCCGAGGTGGTCAATCAGCGGCGCTCAGTATCAATTTGGCGCGAGCGTATGTTCGTAAATTTGACTGTAGTAACGGCAGAGCCGTTACACCAGTTTTGGCATAAAATGTTGATTACGGGTGTATCAGTAAACTGGTTAAACTTCAATTAAATATTTAGAGACAATTAAATATTTAGAGGAAAGTAATGTATTTTAAATAAAATACATTAAAACAAATTTAATAACAAATTAATGTGCTTCGTAAGTTAATCATTAATTTTTAGAAATATTAAAAATTTGTAGTATTTCAAAAATCATAGTATTTAAATATATTTTGTTAAATGGAAAATTTGATGTATATTAAAATTAATAGTTATTTTTATTTATATTTCATAAATTCAATGCAATTTTAAGAATATTTTTATTAAGGAAAGAAAAAATATAGAGAAAAACAAGGAAAAATATAAATATAAAATATAAACATAAATTAATTATATTAAAATAAATAAAAATCGGTTTTATTAGATTCAACACATGAAAAACGGAGGCAAGTGCGGAGAATGCGGTGACGATTATTCTTTACTTCGACCACGGCCAAATGAAAATGGGGGCATTTATGGAACTGGCATCATTGTTCAAAAGTGAGTAAATCATGTAATAGTATCATTATAACAATTTAAATATAAAAATAAAAATATAAATTTAAAATATTAAAAATTATATATAAATTATAAATATTTAAAATTATATATAAATAGACAAGTTCTAGTTTCAAAGAATAAAGTCTAATGTTTTAAATTTACTTAATAAATACTTAAATTTTGTTTTTGATATAAGTTTTATATATAAAAGTTAATATAAGTTTTATATAAGCAACTATATTTGCAAAATATTTTTATGAAAGGAAAAAAAATTATGTTTGTACTACAAATATATTTAGGCGTGTGGTGTGTGTGTGTGTGTGTGTGTGTGTGTATGGTGTGCCGTGTGTGAAATAGAGTTATATTTTTCAGAATTAGCAAAATTCACATAAAAATTACCAATTATATTAAGTTAATCTAACATTGACTATAGTAGAGAAACTTAAACAAACTGATAGTATTGTATTATTAAGATTACAATCGAAATTATAATCAATTTTATATTCAATTTTAAAATACAAAGGCCGAAGTAAGCACGGCCAATCTACCCCCGCAGGCAATTCCCTAAAATAGCCTCGAAACTGCACGTGCTTAAGAGTAAAAAATAATTTTTCTTTTTTCGAAATTAATTTTTTTCTCCTAAACGATTCAATGTTTTGAAAAACAATATGTAATTTGGAAACAATTGCGCCGCATTAAAAAAAATTGGGGTCCAAATTTGAGAATAACAACATTAGAAAAAAAAATATTTTAACTTTCAAAATTTTTTTCAACATCATAGGCGCTTGGTACACCTACCATTTTTCTTTTGTAATATTTTTGAGCATTAATCTATAACATGTATTTTCCATAAATCGATTAAAGGGGTAGACGATAGTTAAATGGATTAAGTAAATTTTTAATACTTTTTTTCTCATAAATGGATAGATTATTATAAAAAAATATGTTTTAGATACTATTAAGTCACATTCATGAAAAAATTGAGATAAATGTTGAATAATACTTACATTGCTTACTTACAAAATGTTGAATAATACTTACATTACTTACTTACAAAAAAAAATTTTAGATTTTCATAATTTTTTTCGATATCATAGACTACTTTCCTATTCGATTTTTTAAAAATATCTTTAGGTAGCAATGTACAACATAGATATTTTTATAAATTGATCTAAAGGGTAGATGGTTATTAAAAAATATAGCTAAATGGCTATATTATACTAACGTCATCATGTTATAACTTTATATACAGGATAGACCATTTTAATCTACGCACTGAAATATCTCAAATTCCATAAGTTCAAGACAAAAATGTTCCAGACAAAAGTTGTTTTGCTTGAAGGAGAACATGAGAGGGCCATTAGTCCGACCTTGAAGAGTCACCTGAAGATCACGTGAAGGTCACCTCCAAAACCTTTTTAAATGGAATACCCTACATACTTTTACATATTTTTATAGCTTGCTTGAAGAGCTTTCCAAAACACACATAATAAAGTATTTTTTCATTGAATACTTTTGGAGTTATGAGGCTTGAAATAATTTTTCAATTTTACATAAACCATAAAATATCTAGTAAAATATTCATTTTTCGATTATCTTAGCTTAATACTTTTATGTACAAAATAATGAGAGCAATCAATTGGTATAAAGAAAACATATAGTTATTTCTAAGAAAAAATATGTAATTGTTAATTGCAAATTACATATTTTTTCTTCGAAACAACTATGTTTTTTCTTTATACCAATTGATTTCTCTCATTATTTTGTACATAAAAGTATTAAAGTAAGATAATCGAAAAATGAATATTTTACTAGATATTTTATGATACTTTATATTTTATGTAAAATTAAGATATTATTTTAAGCCTCATAACTCGAAAAGTACTCAATGAAAAAACTTACTGAAAATACTTTCTTACTTTGTCACGGGCGAATTCCGCGTGAATCGCCGTCGGATAGCCGGAGTTGGGATCAGGATTCGATGGTTATACTGATAACGAGAGCATGTACGTGTACAAAAAAAAGACTTTATTATATATATATATAGAATACTGTGTGGTGTGTGTGTGTGGTGTGTGTGTGTGGTGTGTGTGTGTGTACGTGGTTTACAATGTGTATTTGAGATATGCGTGTTGCACTATGTATGTTGATTGCACGAGGCGCAATGCGTGTTTCGCTGCGCGAAGATCGAATTATAAATGCACGCGTGGTTGCGTTAACTGATCGTACTCGTGGCCGCGCTGAGTCGTACGAATAATATTTAAAATATATGTATTTATATGTTGGACGGTAACGCATAATACAAATACAGCGGTTTATTATAAGAAATGCGATAATTTTGTCGTCGGTGTATGCGGTACAATGCTTCATATGCCGCGCGTGTTTACATCCGGGCGCGGTGAATGACCGTTTGACGGTGTGCGTCGCGCTTTTTTATGCGCGCGTGTCTGGCGGTAGGTCTAGCCGTGTTTTTGCAAAATGCGCGTATTTCTTTTCGTACGCGATTCCGCGAATTACCTGTTCTATTCGGCGTACTCGTCTTCGATGGAAATATGAATTCCCGGTATTGTTGGAAAGTTTCTGGGAACCTTGTGCCGACGAGAAATACTCGTCCGAAGCAGTTCTCCTCTCTGCCTCGAGATATGGTGCACAAACGTTAGGCGGTCGGATGCTGGACCGTTTTACCGAGATCCCTCGATCGAACCGGAGTGCGCTCGGGTTTGTTTTGCGGTCGGAAAAAGCGGCTGGATGGATTGCCGGTTATAATCGAGAGTTCTCGATAGAGGAAGAGTGCTCTCTGTTTTAAAATCGGCGTTTTGCTAGGAGCGGTCTAGGTTGCGAGACGTTTCACTTGCGTGATCGGAATCGGAAAAGGATAATTAGATTGCCGAGTATGCCCTTTTTATACCGCCTAATTACCCGCGCATCGGCGCGCGGCGGCATTACCCCTTCTGAACGGGTTTCGGGAACACGGTATGGTCGGGCCCGTTCGGAGGGGTTCGGGTATTGCGCCGAACGCGGGCTTTCGCCGGTCGGCGGTTCGGGGCACGTCGGCAATCTCCAGCGTTTTTCGGCTCGACACTTAACGGCTTAACGCTATTCGAGATATTTTATAAAGTTTAAAAAAAAAATGTGGGCGCACCGCGCCCCTGCCTTTGCCCGGCGGATGTTCTGCCGGGCGGCAGCTTCCGGCGGATCACATGCCGAATAAAACGATGCGATTAAGGGGGTGCACGGGGTGCATCGTTACATCTTGAAATATTTTATTATAGTGTTTTGGAAACTTCTTGAGACAAGCTACAAGAATATGCAAAAGTATATAAGATGTCCCACTTAAAAAGTTGGGGTGACCTTCACGTGACTTTCAAGTAACTCTTCGAGGTCAAACTAATAGCTCCATCTTATGTCCCCCTTCAAGGCATACAACTTTTCTCTGAAACATTTTTTTTTATAATCAAAATTAGAAAAGTTAGTCGGGATAATGGATTAAAATGGGACACCCTGTATATATGTATATACGTGTTTGAGATATTCGGCTAATACGAGTGATCTGCGACACCCTGTATATATAGGCTGATTCAAAATAACCCTATTGTCCTTAAAATGACACATTCTTGAGTCAATTCCAAGACGATTTTTTTCTTTGGCAAAATTTCGTCCAACGCTTAGTTTTTGAATTATTAAAGGAAGTAATTAACTTATGACGGTCAGATACAAGAGACAGGCAAAGGTGGCACGATTCACCTTCAAGGTTCGTACACATTTACAACAATACATCCTAACTGCAACATAATTATAAATAAGATCGAATATGGGTAATATTACGCATACATATTTGAGAAAAATTGTCACCCGAACTGAATGTCGTCCCAAACGAGAACATTTTTGCGTCCCACTATGTTCGTAGCAGTCGTGAGGAAACATTCAAGATGAATAGAAATATCATAGCTGCAGCAGAATATATTTATATTTATCATAAAATTAAGAAAAAGTAAAAAAGAAGATGGTTTCTTCATTCCATTCCATGTTGAACGCTAGTATGCACTCAAGTGTGCTGGCGACAATGACGATGCAGATCACCGATGCTTGCTGTGTTACGTTCATTTGTTTGAAGCCCGTCCAAACGACGCGTAACATCTTTTGATGCGGCGCAGTAATACCGACAAGCGACGGGACGCAGTGTAACTCATCGCGCGAACATTTATGTTACGTTTGAATGTTTGGTGTGAGGTTATCGTCCATACATTGCATCGGTGTTACGCGACGACGTTGCAGTTACGATGTTCTGTTGCAAGTGTATATGAGTCTTCAGACGCAGGGCGTTTGCTGCGATCAATTGATCGCTACATACACACACATGCAAATACATACATTCTCATTCTCTCTCTCTCTTTCTCTCTTTTTCCCTCCCTCACTCCCTCTTTCTCATTTACTTACTCACTTGAAGTCATTATTACTCTTACTTAAATTATTATTTACTTTTTATTATTATACATTTTCACTTTAATTATTATCACCTTAATTATTTTCACTTTAATTATTATTTTTTTTAATTGTGTTAGGAGTACAAATAAGTCTCCGCCGTTTGACAAAAGATGATCTTACCAGTAAGTTATGGTTGAAATTGTCAGATGTAAAACGTCATATCGTAAGGTTGGACATCTGGCAACACCATAACCTTGAAATATTAGCGATTTTGTATTAGCATCACATAATTTTTTTCGTGCGAAAATGTCGAGTTTTGAGCCGAATAAGCGTCATTTACGGAAACTTTTGATTTACTTCTTTAATTTGAAGAAATCTGCAGCTGAGGCGCATCAATTGCTTGTAGAAGCATATGATGAGGCTGCTTTAAGTGAGAAAAGTTGTCGTGAGTGGTTTCATAAGTTTAAGAACAGTGAGTTTGACGTCGAAGACAAAGAATGTAGCGGAAGGCCGAAAGTGTACGAAGATGCAGAATTGGAAGCATTATTGGAGGAAGATTCGTGCCAAACGCAAGA